ATCCTTGTTTTGATTTTCTCTTTTCAATTCTATTGATTTCTGCTCTTTATTATATACTTTCTTTAGCTCTTTTAGATTTATTTTGGTTCTTGAGGCCATAGCATGGATTAAATACTTTGAGACTCTTCCTCTTTTCTAATGTATGTTTTTAGTGCTATAAATTTCCCTCTCAGTGGTGCTTTACCTGTGTCCCACAGATTGTGTATATTGTGTTTTCATGTTAATTCAGCTCAGTGTATTTTTCAGTTTCCTTTGAGACTCTTCTTTAACACATGAATTGTTTAAAGGAATGTTATTTAGTTTCCGAGTGTTTGGAGATTTTTCTCTTCCTCTGTTCTTAATTTCTAGTTTGATCCCATGTGTTTATAAAACAAAGTCTGTATTATTCCGTTTCTTTCAAATTTGTTGAGATTTGTTTTATGGCTCAGGATATGGTTTATCTTACTATATGTTTCAGGACACTTGCAAAGAATGTGTATTCTGTTGTTGGGTGGAATGTTCTATAAATGTCTGTTACATCCAGGGGCACCTGGGTGGCCCAGTTGCTTACTTTGGCTCAGGTCATGATCTCACAGTCTGAGTTTGAGCCCCACGTCAGGCTCTGTGCTGACAGCTCAGGGCCTGGAGCCTGCTTCAGATTCTGTGTCCCCCCCCTCTCTCTGCCCATCTCTCAAAAATTAATAAACATTAAAAAAAAAATTTAGGTGTCTATTAGATCCTGTTGCTTGATGGTATTGTTGAATTGCTGTATATTCCTGCTGATTTACTGTCTAGTTGTTCTGTCAGTAGTTGAGAGAGGGGTGTTCAAGTCTCCCCAACAAGGACTGCGGACTGGTTTACTGTTCCTTTGGTTTCTATCAATCACTTTTTGTTTTATGTATACCTATTCAGCTCCATTGTTTGATGCATATACATTTAGGAGGGCTCTTTCTTCTTGATGCATTTGCCCTTTTTCATTCTATAATGACCATCTATATCTTTGGTGATTTTCTTTGTTGAGAAGTCTGCTTTATCTGATATTAATATAGCTGTTTCTGCTTTAATTGGATTAATGTTTCTATACTGTGTATTTTTTATTCTTATTGTTTTTACCTTCAGTTGCTTATATCATTATTTTTGAAGTGAATTTCTTCTAGATGGCCCTTAGACTGGATTTAAAAACACGACCCACCTATCAGTCTTTGTCTTAAGTCTGCCATCACTTTTTTGTTTTGTGTTTGTTCTGTTTTCATTTCCTGCATTCCTTGCATTCCTTTAGATTAACATTTTTAGAATTCCATTTTATCTTTGGTGTTTCTGAGTGTACCCACACACTCAGGCATGTGTGCAGAGCACATAAATTAAACAACTTGACTGAGTCCTCAAAAGCCATAAACTACCAAAACTCACTGAAGATGAAGTAGATAACCAGGGTATTCTACAACTAGTAAAATAGTTGGATTCAGGGGCGCCTGGGCAGCTTAGTCGGTTGAGCGTCCGACTTTCGCTTAGGTCATGATCTCGCGATTCGTGGGTTCGAGCCCCGCGTCGGGATCTGTGCTGACTGCCAGCTCAGAGCCTGGAGCCTGTTTCAGTCTGTGACTCCCTCTCTCTCTGACCCTCCCCTGCCCACGCTGTCTCTCTCTCTCTCCTAGAAATAAATAAAACATTAAAAAAAATTAAAAAAAAAAAAATAGTTGGATTCATAGTTTAAAATCTCCTGAAATAAGAAATCATCAGGCCCACACAGTATCACTGGTAAATGCTACTAAACAAACAGTTCAAGAAAAATAACACCAATTCTCTGCAGTCTTTTCCACAAAATAGAAATAGAGGACACTTTCCAACTCATTTTGGGGCAAGAATTGCCCTAATCCAAAAACAGGTAAGAACAAACTAGACCAAGAGAGATGCAAAAACCTATTAGGAAACGGAGTCCAGCAATATATGAAAAGAATAGCATACCACAGCCAAGTAAGGTTTATCTCAGCAGTGCAAGGCTGATTCATATTCAAAAAATAATTATTGTAATCTGCCATATTAGCCTGATAAAGAAAAAGCACCTGATCATGTCAATTGATCCAGAAAAGCACTTGACAAAATTCAGCATGTATTCATGATATAAATTCTCAGGAAACTAGGAATAGAAAGGAGTTTATTCAGCCCAATACAGAGCATCTAAAAAATTAATGATGGAAGACTAAATACTTTTCCCCCAAGACTGGGAACAACAAAGCAAGGATGTTTACTCTCACTACTCGTATTTATCATCATAGAGGAAGTCCTAGCCGATGCTGGGAGTCCAAAACTAAATAACTAACTAAATAAATAAATAAATAAGTAGCACATAGTTAAGGGAAACAAAGAGGTAAAACTGCCCATGTTCACCAACAGTGATTAGAAAATCCTGAGGAATCTACCAAACAAAACAATCTTCCTAGAACTAATAGAGTTTACCAAAGTCATGGGATTTAAGATCAAAACATAAAATCCATTTTTTGTCTATACACTAGCAATGAACTGAAATTTTAAAATACTATTTACAATAGATTTTTAAAACATAAAACATGTGATCTAACAAAAACATGATTAGTATCCAAATGCTAAAAATCATAAAATTGATAAAAGAAATCAAAGGAAACCTAAATAAATAAATACTGTGTCCATGGACTGTTAGACGAATAATAAAGATGTCTTCTCTCCTCAAATTGATCTGCAGATTAAATGTTATTCTAATCTGAATCCCAGCAGGACATTTTTGTAGATAAAGCCAACTGGTTCTAAAAATTGTACAAAAAGCAAAGAAACTAAACTAACCAAAACAATGTGAAAAAGAAGAAGAAAGTTGGAGGAATTAGATCACTATCTGATCTAAAAACTTACTGTAAACTACAGCAACCAAGACAGTGTGGTATTAGCAGGGGGAAAGACACATAGATCTTTGCAACAGAACAGAGTTCAGAAATAGGCTCATAAAAATATGGGTGAAATGATTTTTTTTTATATAGGTGCAAAGGTAGTTCATGGGGAAAAGTTAATCTTTACAGTAAATGGTATTGGAAAAGTTGAACATTTATAGGCAAAAAAAATGAACCCTGTCTGAAACCTCACACCTCACATAAAATTTAACTTCAAATAGATCATCAATCTAAATGTACAAGGTAAAACTATAACACTTTTCTTAAAAACCACCACCAACAACTTTGTGTCCTGGAATTAGGCAACATGTTCTTAGACATGCACCAAAAGCATAACCCATAAGTGAAAAAATTGACAAATTGGATGGACATCATTAAAATTAATCACATTTGTTCCTTGAAAGTTACCATTAAGAGAATGAAAATGCTACAGACTGGGAGAAGATATTTGCACACTGCCCCTCTGACAGCTGACTTGTATCTTTAATAAAGAACTTTCTAAACAGCAGTAAGAAAACAATCCAATTTTAGAAGTGGGCAAATGACATGAACAGACATGCCACCAAAGCAGAAATATAGATGGCAAATAAACACATCAAGAGTCAATCCACATTATTAGTCATAGGGAAATGCAAACTTAAATTACCACGTAAGAGCTCTGCACACTGTTAATGACTAATGTTAAAAAAAAAAAAAATACCAAGTGCTGATGGCTTGGAGAGCAGATGGAACTATTATAAACTGCTGGTGGGAATGCAAAATGGTACATTTGGTCTGGAAAACTGTTTGACAGCTTCCTATAAGCATTTGCCAGATGATCTAATAATTCCATTCCCTACATCTGCTTTAAAAAATGCAAAGTATATGGCAATGAGAAAGAATGAAATCTGGCCATTTGTAGCAACGTGGATGAAACTGGAGGGTGTTATGCTAAGTGAAATAAGTCAGGCAGAAAAGGACAGATACCATATGTTTTCACTTATAAGTGGAACAGGAGAAACTTAACAGAGGTCCATGGGGCAGGGGGAAGGGGAAAAATTAGTTGGGTAGAGGGAGGGAGGCAAACTATGAGAGACTCTTGAATACTGAAAACAAACTGAGGGCTGATGGGGGTGGAGGAGAAGGGAAGGGGGTTGATAGGCATGGAGGAGGGCACTTGTGGGGATAAGCACTGGGTATTATATAGAAACCAACTTGACAATAAACTATAAAAGGAAATAATGCAGAGTATAGTCTTACAAAAACCTGTATGCACATGATCACCGAAGCTCTGCTAATAATCACCAAAAACTAGAAACCAACCAAATATCCTTCAGCAGATGAGTGGATAAACAAACTGCTACATCCCTGCAATGGAATACTCCTTCATAAAAAGGAATGGACAGTTGGTACACAGAACTTTGTCAGTGACACTCAAAAGCATTGTGCAGAATCAAAGTAGCCAGTCTCTAAAGAATACATGCTACATGATTCCATTTGTATGACATTCTGAAAAAGACAAAACTATAATAACTGAGAATCGATGGTTGCAGTAGTTTAGGGTTTGGGGAGGGTGGGACTCAAGAAGGGCATCAGCTTTAAGGGGAGATGGAATTGTTCTGTATCTTGATTGTGGTTACACCAATCTATACGTGTGGTACAGTTGACAGAACTGTTGACCAAAGGTAAAGGTCACTGTAACTAACAACACAACAAAAGACTGTTGCATCTTCCCCACACTGAAATTGTCCAGGGGATTATCTCGATTATAAGCAGATCCACCATCAGACATTTATCCAAGTTTCAATGAGACTATGAGATTAGAGTTCCGGAGGGCCAGTGAGGAAGTGTTTTAGCAATAAGGTGGTTGCTCAGTTCAGCCATCTTGACTTTGGACATCAAGATATCCAAAATAAATTATTTTTCTGAGCAAATAAAATTTCTTTCTAAAATCTGACAGTGTTAACTGTAGCATTCCACAAGTATGTGGTTGGCTGGTGTATAGCAAATGAATCAACTCTTCCATTAACAAAACAGAGTAAGGCCTGGGAACAGTCAATGGCCTAGAGTATTTTACCAAGCACATCAACTTACCCACTCCTTTCTGCCCTTGGCTTACTGCAGGAGGTTGTGGCTCACTGGATTGCTGAAAGCCGCATCGCCATTGAGAAGATACGTTTGTTGACCCTGAAAGCCGCCCACAGCATTGACACTCTGGGCAGCGCTGGTGCTAAGAAGGAGGTGAGGCCCCTCGGACCACCATCTGCCAAGGCTTCTTCAGTTTCTTTCACCCACTGGGCATTTCAGGTTTCGTGGTACCCGGATGGCACTCAGAATATTGGAGTTTCCATGTGATTTTGGTTTCAAGCTTATATGTCACTTGCTAGTTTTCCTTTCCTTTGCCTGTTTTGGGGAATGATTTTCAGGGTGCAGAGTATCTTCAGCATTTTTGAGATGCAGCAACAGGGAGTAGGAAAATGCTAGACTACACAGACTTGGAATTGTACCCTGTATGCCATTTTCTGCTACCATGTGGCCTTGGGCAAAGATCTGATCTTTCTGCCTTTGGCCTAGAGTTTTAGTCAAGAGGGGCAAGGATGACAGAGAAGGCATAGCACTTTGCTACTGCGTGGTAAATGCGTCATAAGACTCCTTTCTTTCCCTGCTTTCTGTTTCGGGCTTATATGGAGTAAGAACGTGATCACTTAATTCTAAAAGCCAATAAAATGGGTAAAAGAGAATTGATTAGTGAAGGCTCTTGAATTTTTTTTAAGTTTTGTTTTTTTTTAAGTAGGCTCCACACCCAACATGGGGCTGAACTCACAACCCTGACATTAAGAGCTGCATGCTCTACTGAACCTTGAATTCTTTTTTATGATCCCTAAGGTGATAAATGTGATTTATCAGCTGCCTTAAATCCTTTTGGAAACAAGGCAAGTTATAAATAATAAAATAGGATTTGGAAAAGATCTCTTGTTCCAGAATGTCTGTATTGGCTAAAATATGGCCATTAGCAGCATTACAATGGATCTCTTTGTTGGCATCCATCAAAGATCTTGTCTCAGTGCTGAATTAATGTGGGAAAGTTCCCTTGTCTCATTTCACAAAGAAAATACAGATTATATACAATTCTGCCACACTGTGTATCATCTAAGAAAGGAACATTCTTTTTATATCTTGTTTATGTAGATTGCAATAATTAAAGTGGCTGCCCCTCGGGCTGTCTGCAAAATTATTGACCGGGCCATCCAAGTGTGTGGAGGTGCAGGTGTGTCCCAGGACTACCCTCTGGCTAACATGTGAGTAGATGTCACTGTAAGGCTTGGAATGGAACTAGAAATCTATAGCTGCCTCGACACTAGTTGCTGAAGAAGAAATACAGATACTAAAGATACAGTTCAAGGCTAAATGGGGTAATATAGGTACAATAAATGGTTGCTCTTAGGATCACAATTATCATTTCACTGGAGACATTGGGGTTTGTGGACTAGCGAGGAAATGGCATAGGGGTTCACCCTGAAACTAGAAGCATCAGACAGGGTCACAGGTGGCGAAGGGAGCCCAGAGCTGGGCTTAAGTATGTCCTTAGGTCTGTTTGCCGCCTCCTCAGGGTCGCCTCACACCACTGACCATCTCAGGTCCAGATTCTGGTTGCTGGGAGCCAAGGAACACTCTGCATTGCCCGTCACCTCGCAGCCCCCTGCCACCCTCTCTCCCACACTGGAGAATCTGGTGCCCCACCAGCTTTTAACCATAAGGAAAAACTAAATGTATAGTACTATGTTTATAAGTGGTACATATTTATACTTCACTGCCTGTGGCTTACCAGAGATATCTCTTAGTTCTAGCAACTTCTAGAACCCTAAAGCAAACCAAGACAGATTAATCCCATTGCACTGGGCCATTTAAGACTCCACTACCCAGGGTGAAAGCTTTAAATGGCATTTGCAAGCCAGTGGGCTTACTTTCCTTGATTTTCTTTGGGCTCTTTTTCTCATCATGGTTTTGGTGAGATTTCAAAAATAAAGAGTTGGCTTAAAATCAGAGTGACTGACATTAAAGTACCACGTTTCAAAGTACCTTTGATAGCTCCTGCCATCCCTGCTCTTTTCGTTTCTCCAGGTATGCCCAAACACGAGCTCTGCGCTTAGCAGACGGGCCCGACGAAGTCCACCTGTCCACGATCGCGGCAATGGAGCTGCGGGACCAGGCCAGAGGCTCGAGGTCCAAGATATAGGAGGCGGCGGCGTCTCCCTCCAGACAGACAGACTTCTCGTCCTCTCACACTTGCACCACATTCTGGTTTTGCACCAGTTTGAGCACCGGATTAATTACTCATTTTCAGTAAAAATTGTACCATCTGTTTCGATCAGTGGGTTTTATAATTTCAGGGGTAGCACAGGTTTAAGTTAAATTGTATAGCTGCCATCATTCAGTCTATCACCTAAGCGTTAGCATTTATTCTTAAAACAGCTTGTAAAGAGATAATCAAGTAAGGTGCATAGGCATAAAAATGTTTTCACTTTTGGATTCTCAGGAATTTAGATAAATTCCATTTAGATAAATATCCAAGGAGTCACTGCTCTGTTGGTGTCTTTTTTAACACTGGGTTCAGGGGTTGGGTCAGCACCTGGCAGGACCACGGTGTTTGCCCTGGGGAAAGCTGTGCGACCCACTGAGGCATTCCGAATTCATATGAGCCTCTTCAGAATTCAACAGAAAACATTTATACATAAAATCTGAATGCAGTTTTAAGTTTACCAGAAAACATAGCATACTTGTTGTATGAGAAAATGTAATTAAGAAAACTTAATTATGTTGATGAGAACAGTGGATAATTTAGGTTACAAGAAAGTTACTTAGTTTTGAGAAGAGATTAAAAACCATCTGCTCTGAATGCCATTCTGTTACTTCAACACCCTAAGCAAACATTCTTGTGGCTCTTTAAATCAGTGCTGCCCAGTATGTACGTAGCGGCCACTGGCCATGTGTGATTCTTGAACACTTGAATTATGCCTAATGCACTGAGGAACTTAAGGTCTTTCACATTTTAATTAAATATTGATTCTTAGTTACTGGAAAACTTTTGAGTATGCCTGCATACTTGGGTGTGTGAACTGACTTTTTCAAATGTAAATTTTTGGATATCTGAACAGGGAGCAACTATTTTAGATGAAAATTTAGACTCCAAATTAAGAAACAGAGTCACTCACTCATACCAAATTTTGAAGACTTACTATGAAAAAAGGTGAAATATCTCATTAATACTTCTTAGTCGCAATTACATATTGAAATAATAAAATGTGGATAGAAAGCATACCTTGTTTTATTGTGCTTCACTTTTTACACTTCTTAAAATTGCAAGTTTGTGGCAGCGTCAAGGGCAAGCAAGTCAGTCGGCACCATTTTTCCAATAGCACTTGCTCACTATGTGTCTCTGTCACATTTTGGTAGTTCTCACAATATTTCAAATGTCTTCATTATTATATTGAATTGCTACAATCTCATCATAAAACTTGAACAGATGAGGACTTGGTTCTTATGGATGAGCAAAGAAAGTGGTTTCTTGAGATGGAATCTACTCCTGGGGAAGACTGTTGAAATGACAAAAAGAAAAAAGTTAAAACATCACATAAACTTAGTTGATAAAGCAGCAGCAGGATTTCAGAGATTTGACTCCCAATTCTGGAAGAAGTTCCATGGGTAACTGCTTTCAAACAGCATCACAGCCTACAGAAAAATAGTTCATGAGAAAAAGTCAATTGATACAGCAAATTTCACTGTGTTGTCTTATTTTAAGGAGTTGCCCCAGCCACCCCAACCTTCAGCAGACCCCACCCTGAGCAGTTAACAGCCACCAACACAGAGGCAAGAATCTCCTCCAGCAAAAATACTGAACCTCGGTGAAAGCTCAGATGCTGGTTAGCATTTTTTTAGCAATAAAGTTTTTGGGTTTTTTTTAAGATTTTGCTTTTCAGTAATCCCCACATCCATTGTTAGGCTTGAACTCACATCCCTGAGATCAAGAATCACATGCTCCCTGACTGAGCCACCCAGGTGTTCCACCTCCCCCTACCCCAAGTATTTTTAATTAAGGTGCATCCTGGTTTTTTTTAGACAATGCCGTTGCATATTAAACAGAGTACAGTATAGTGTAAATGTGTCACAGACCCTGGGAAACCAGAAAATCCCTTGGACTTGTTTTATTGTCACATTTGCTTTATTGTGGTCTGGCAACCGATGGCCCACATCTGTGAGGTACGCCTGTGACTGATTTCACCGGTTTCTTGTTACCTTTTGATGCTACTGGAATATTAATTGGTAAAATATTAAATTTTCAAATGAAAGTATTTTTATTTCTAAAAACTTTAAAGCTGTTTTATTAGCATACACATCTCAAACATTTAAATGTCTTCTTGAAGTAGGGAGCCAGCATTAAACAAAGACCTGCCTTGATTCTTCTGTGTCACAGGCGCGTCCTAAACATTTGCCTTTGAACCTCATTTTTGAATCTCTCTGAACCTCATTTTTTTTCTTTCTGTGCACGGGATTAACTTCAAACTAGAGGACCCTTGCCTCCTGAGTGGTTGTTGTGACCATCACTAAAGCCACGTAGAAGCACTTGGGGTATTTCTGAACCACGATATTTTATAAGGTATCCTCATGTGAAGTAGGTAAAATCTTAGAACCCAAGCTATCGAATCTTATTTCTAGTTTTAAAAGTTGTCACTTAGAAGAACTCAGGATTGAGGCGCCTGGGTGGCTCAGTCAGTTAAGCATCTGACTTTTGATTTTGGCTCTGGTCATGATCTCAGGGTTTAAGAGATCAAGCCCTGTGTTGGGCTCTGTGCTGACAATGCAGAGCCTCCCAGGGATTTTCTGTCCACCTCATGTGTGCGCACACTTGCTGTCTCTCAAAATAAATAAACCTTTAAAAAAGTTGACGTGTCTGGTACCCAGAATTTTGTGATAATTTTTTCCTATGTCTTTGGAAAAAAAACTGGCTCAACTGGTGGTTGACTTAGTTCATCCATTTTCACTTGTCTGTTCCGTACACAACCATCTCTAAGGCAAGTCACTCCAGGAAAGGCTCCAAAGAATGAAAAGATGGAGGGATGCCTTTGCTTTAGCCACGGTGAATTAAAGCATGGAAGCTCAGAGCCATCTCTAGGACGTCCTCAGGCTGTCGCCGTGTGGCAGTGCACCCAGGGGCGGTCAGCCAGCTTTGCCATGCCACAGTGTTTGAAATGAGAAGCTGCCCTCCGTAATCACCACATGACAGGAAGCCTTGTCATGAGCAACGAGGTTCTATTTGAGCTCATCCCTTAGGCTCCCTCCCTCCACCATGGCCTCCTGCCTGCTCTTCCAACATACAACCCCCGCCAGGCCTCTGACACTTGGTTCTTATTGTTTTTTCTGCCTGAAAAGACCTACCCTGAGATTCCCAGATGCCTGTTCAAAAGACACCTTAGGAAAGGGTCCTTCCTGACTACTTGCTCTAAATTAGCAGCACATGCTTTGTCACTTCACCTCTCTGCTGTTCTCGCAGCACTTAACACCTGACATATTTTGTGTCTACTTATTTATGACTGCTCCCATGCAGGTGAGCCCCACTTTTCCCCTCCTACAGTCACTTATTTCACCTATTTTGTGTACTGGGGTTCCTCTCAGTCCCTAGAACCATGCCTGGCCTCCAGTAAGTACTCAAAAGTATGGATGGATGAATGACTGAGCACGGATGATCCCTGATTTGGATTGGTGAGAGGGCAAAACATTTATTTATAGGTCTACAAACAGAGCGGAGCAGAAGCTCAAGCTTCAGCCCATGAACACAGGCGCAGAATGGGTTACAGTTAGCTAGAGAGGACATCGGTGCCCCAGCAGTGGGCGGTGCACAGCATTTTGGCAAATCAGGCGATGAAGTAACATGTGATGAGTATTTAACAATCCAAAGGAATGTACACACTTACTTTTTAAGTTTTCCTGCTTTCTAATCCAATCTAATCAGCCAGAGCTCTGTGACCAACTCTCACTTCAAAGGGAAGTCAGGACTCCTAAGAAAAATAAAACCACTGTTGGTGATCATTAGAATTTCCAAGTTTCCAGATAAACAGGATTCTGGGAAGTATCCTTCACTTAATTCAGGGCAAAGAGCATTTAGGGTTTGTGATCCTGCCACAATATTTTTATTTCTTTTTTAGTGTCTCATTAGATGTTTATCATGAAGAAACTCCACACACATTCTAGTATAAGTGTGTGGTTGTGATAAGCTCCATGAAACATGGACTTTTCTCTGCCTTATCTTCACAAAAACTACCTGAACAAACAAAGGGTGATTATCACAGTGCTACCTCTCTCTCAGGACTGTGCCTTAGCAGCAACCACCCTTTCACCCACTGGGCTGATGGCTGACACCTGCCGGGTGAAAAGTCATGTTTCACTTTTTTCAATGGGAGAAGATGGAGACTGCAGATGCCTCTTCCCCCCACACACTTACCTATGACTTCATTTTTTTCCCCGTACCGCACATCAGCCTCATTGGCCTTCTGCTGTTTCTCCAGTGTCCCAGATTTTTTTCTTAAGTTAGAAATATTTGTTTCTTACTAGAGGGTTCTCTCATGAGAGAAGAGTATGCAAAAAGAGGCTTCCTGGGTTTTCTCCCATTCAAAACCTTCCTCCCTGTGGAGGAGGGAAAGTTCTCCATCTACTCCCGGGAAGTTAGGCTACTCTAGTTTTACTTTTGGTTATTTGCATGAAGAAAAAAAAATCAAAACCCCACTATTAGCAGGCTATCTGTCCCTTGGTACATATGCCCAGTCCACTTGGACAGCCAGCCAGCTGTGGGCCTCAAGTACCCATCTCCATGTGCTGCCCAGGATTAGACGGTACATTGGAAACAAGGTTCTCCTGGCTAGGGATCAAAGAACACCCTAGCTCCTGGTCACATGTTTGAAAGCATGCATAGCACCTCCAGTGAGGGTGTGAGAGTCCCTCTTTGGCAAGGAGGCAAGCCCTCTGGCCACAGGTGGTATCTGGAATAGACGCTTAATTACTCCTCCAAATTCTCTTCAGATTCCTTAAGGTGACCAGAGTAAAAGCAAATTCTGAAATGGCACACCAAGTTACACAAGGTGGAAGAAGTCATTAAGGCCAGTCTCTCCAACCCCATGCACAGAACTCTGACCCCACTGACCCCCTCCTTTCACCCTTCAGGACCACCTAGTCCTGCCCACCACTTCTCCTCAGTGGCAGCCTTCAGCCCAAGTTGGAAGTGGCCCAACTCAGGAACTTGATCTTCACGCCCAAGGCTCTACCTTCAAGGTCTTTGCACTTGCTTCTCTATTTACCTAGAAACTTCTTCCCCTACCCCACGTGTTCAAGGCTTGCTCTTTTCCTGAAAACATGACATTCTTGGTTTTTCTTTCATGATCATCCCATCTAAATTTCTGTTTTTTAAAGTTTATTTATTTTGAGAGAGAGAGGGAGGGAGGGAGGGTGGGCGGGTGGGTGGGAGACAGAATCCCAAGCAGGCTCTGTACTACTAGCATCTAGCACAGAGCCTGATGCAGCGCTCAAACTCAAGAAATGTGAGATCATGACCTGTGCTGAAGTCAAGGGTCGGACGCTTAACTGACTGAGCCACCCTGGCACCCCATCCCATCTAAATTTCTATGCCCTTCCATCACACACACACGCATGCACGCACGCACATTCACACTCCTTTCCCTGGTTGGTTTGGTTTTCTTCCTAGACCTTTCACCATATAACATAATGTATCTCTTTTTTAAAAATGTGGTTTATTGTCCCTTCTTCCCCCACTAAATAGTATGCTTTAGCAGAGAGAGGTTTGAGGTTTTTGTCGGTTTTGCTCACTGCTCTATCCTTAGTATGTAGGACAATGAGCAGTAGGTCCTCAATGAATATTTGTTGAGTGCATGGAGTTCAGCTGCAGGAGGGCAGGGATCCCAGGAAGTCCACTTCACCTCTATATCAGAACTGTGGTAACATAGGCTCATGTTTGCTCACTGGCCATACACATGCTTTTTAAAAGACCTGAAGCTAAGCTTCTCAACTCTAGCTAATCATCAGAATCCCCTGTGGAGCCTGATACAGACTCAACTGTGCCAGCGACTGTGTGACCTCAGTGGTAACAAGATACACCGGGGCTGCTTCCTGATCAAGTCCGTTCAGGTGTTTGACTGTAAACACCAGGAAGAGACTGGCTAATGCGAGCAAAAAGAGAACCTGTTCGGTGGGTGTGGACATGGAAGATGGAGACCTCTGGAGGAGCACCCCAGCTGTGGCTTCCCTACCTCT